TATTAAATTTTGTTAGAAGTTGTGTTCAATTTTGGGTGGTGCTTTATTTTATGCAATCTATGTTCCTTTTTTAGATTTGGTGAAAGCTGCCGCATGCAAAGTAGCAAAGCACGATAATGCATGCATTGAAAATCAACATGTGTTTATACCTTTCGCATTTGATACATTTTGTTTTCTCGCATAAGAGGCGGTGAAGCTACTCAACAGAGTCCACCGGGTCATGCATATTGATTTTATATCTTCTACATCTACAGATGTTATTTTCAAAAGAATTAATTTTGCCATTCAGAAAGGGCTGGTAGCACAGCTTGTTGCCCGTTTGCTATCCGTCGATATGTATTGACTTTTTATCCATGTTCATGGATATAAAAATATCTAGTAAAAACAAATGAAGTTTCATAATTTAAGAAAAAAAATGATAGTAATAATAATAATAACAGTTTTATAGGTTTATTAAAAAATTAATAAAAAAAAATCATGTGGACTTCATATTAATGCCACTTGGATCCGAATATGTCATGTCACATCCTACATATGTTATTGATATGTTATTGTTGATAGACCTTTTAATCTTTAATGGTCAATATGTAATTCGCAAATACTTTGATAATTAATAATAATAATGACATTTTCTACTATATGGACGTTTTCTTATATTTATGATATTTTCAGAAGTTTATTGTATGTGTAGAAATTTTTTGTGATAAACAGTTTTTATACAGCCAAGAAGTAGTTAAGCCTTAGCCCTCGAGAACTGGGCCAAATCTGAGGCCCAAAAAGATGTTATTAGTTCCAGCAATCGAGAATCAGCCCAAAATCCAGAAATAATCGTGGTCGATTAGACGATTACTACTACATTTACTAGCACGGAGCATGGATGATTACACCGCAGATGCAGCCTCAAATTGGGCGGGAAACAAACGAAATCGTTAACAATCGCCCATTTGTTCTTAAACTAGTATCTATTTAATAAGGTATTTTTCTCAAGTATTTTTCATTTTTTTTATTTGAATATAGTTTGTTATTATCTAGGGTTTGTGGGTTCTTTGTATACTCTTGTATTTTGCTGAAATGTCTTTAATTTTAGTTTTATTATGGGAGTTTGGTTTGTTTGGTTGATGATTATATACGTTTTATATATTTTTTGTAATGTATGAAGTGTTTGATGATCGGAAGCTTAATGATTATTTGCGAGTAATGTCGGAAGTTTAGAACTTTGAATTAAAGATGTTTATACCGATGCATCCTATGAGAGGAAAGCTCGACTTATAAAGATCAAAATCCCGCTAAAGAGTAAAAAATTGGCATCCCATCCCATGACATTAACCCTTTAATATAAAAAAATTATTTAATTTCTATTTTCTAGATTGTTGATATAATTATAGTTTTAGTCTTGTTTCTGTTTCTGTTTTTGGTTTTAGTTATTGTTTTAATTTTGAACTTTATATTTGTTATTCAATGCAACATTAGTAAAGAATATAAATGTATACAAAATAATACATCAAACTAGTGTAATTTTTAGGTGTAACATGAAGTTCTCATATGAGATAAATATATACAGTTGGAAACTATAATGCTTTAGAATGTGCAATTAGAAATGCATTGACATGAGTGTCCGTAAACTTTGAAATACTTAGTTGCCTTATTATGACACTAACCCTTAATAGAATAGAAGTGCATTATGTAGACAGAGGATCTTACACAAGAAAAGAGAGATTGATAAAATGTGTGTGTGTGTGTTTTGATTATCTGTCTGAGTGGTTTTTTATTCACATCACAGTAACATAAACATGACGAAATCCAAGCTAACAAATGCATCAGAAGGCGAATTAGATGGGGTTGATATGATCAGTAAGTTGCCGGATGATATCCTTCAATTGATTCTTTCACGTATTCCAAGTACCGAAGAATTAACACGAACCAGCATTCTGTCGAGACGATGGAGGTATTTGTGGACTTCAGTTCCCTCTATAGACATAGATTTTACCCGAGGAGTGGGTCTCTCATATGGATTTCTGACATTGAAAAGTGACGTATTCAAAGAGTTTGTGTATTGGGTTTTACTAAACAAACCTCTTGTTTTGGATAGTTTTCGTTTATGGTGTGCGAGTTGCTACAATATGTCGACCATAAGGCGATGGATTCATGCCGCCGTTGTGAGAAAAGTCAAACTACTTGACATGTTGTTTCGCCCAATAGATGATTCTGAGATGCCCGATTGTCTGGTGACTTGCGCTTCGCTTGAGGTATTAAGGTTGCATTTGATGAGAGGTCCTCTAAGTGTGCCCAAATTTACAGGGTTTCCGGCACTTAGGGTTCTTGAGCTGAACGATGTTGGTTTATTGAAGGATGATTTAGTAAAATATTTTCTCGAAAGCTGCCCATTGCTTGAGGATTTGAGTTTGATAGACTGCCCTGCCTATTCTCTTGTTATTTCATCTCCGATGCTCAAGAATGTGAGAATTGATACCCAAGAACTAGTTGATGATGATGGGTACGCTGAGGAGGGATTAGATATAGATTGGGCCATGTGTCTAAGCCTTGAGATTTCTTGCCCAAAACTGGTGTGTTTAACGTTAACGGGTTATGTAGCTACGGAGTTTCTCTTTAACAATCTATGTTCATTGAAGAAAGCTGTGATTTACGCTGAAGAATTGTTTGAAGTTGAGGAACCCATTTATGATTTGTTTTATGACATGCGTCATGTGGAATCTTTGTCGATCAGCCTTCGCTCTGTTGAACAGGTAGATTCTTATACCCTTATGTCATGTTTTGTCATCCTTGTATAATTGTATTTACCTATCGTTTAGTATAAATTTTGCACATTTTCTCTTTTCACACCTTAATCTTTCAAGAATTACATACCACACTTTTAAGGCTTATTTACTTTCCTTAACAAGGTGTATTATCTTTCCTTAATCTTTCAAGAATTACATACCACACTTTTAAGGCTTATTTACTTTCCTTAACAAGGTGTATTATCTTTCCTTAATCTTTCAAGAATTACATACCACACTTTTAAAATCATGATTAACATTCTCACATAATCTCTGCTAAGGTATTATATATGAATTTATGCACTTAGGGATCTAAACATGTCACATTATGCACTTAACATGAAACATGACATCCGGTGCTTATGTTTCATGTTTTTTTGTGCAAATGACACTTCTAATTGGTCTTTGTAACCCTAATACTTTTTTTTATGTCATCTTTGTTTTTCCATATGAAAAGATGGGCTTTAGAGATGATGATGACCCTATATCTCTACCTAATCTCAAGACGTTGGAGCTTACAGTTGATGCCCTACATGTACTCATCCGATTTCTCACCTGTCTTCCAGATCTGGAGTATCTTCATTTGATTTTTCCAAAGGTATTCTCATATGAATTACTGTAATATTTTTTGGAGTAAATTACAGAAATGGTCACTGTAGTTGTCCAAAAACTGCACTCTCAGTCCAATTTATTTTTTCTAACCATACAGTTTCTAAGTTTGAATTTTGTTACTGTTTGGTCCCTGATGGCATTGGTATTTGGTACCATTTTCTGGATTTTTTATTTATTTATATAAATTAATTCAAAAAGAAATCAAAGTTCATGGGCCCCACTCCCACTCCCACTCCCACCCCAACCCCACACTCCCATCATCTTCCAGAATCCAGATATAGATATCAATTAAAGATCAAAGATAAAAGGACTAGGAAAGGTTATTTTAGTAATTTCACGTGGGACTAGTCAACCACAGGGGCTGTTACCGTAACAAATCTATATTTAAGGGTTAACCGTTAATTTACTTATTGTAAACAGCCATAGGGACCATTTCTGTAATTCAATACTCTGTTTTTTATGTATCACAATCTTGAAGAATGTGGCTCGCTTTCACTCATCCCATTTCTCACATGTGCTTTTGTTTGATGATCTAGAATGTTTATGGATTGGACAAGTGGAATCAAGATGAAGCTACACCTGAAACAATGAGCATCTTGACTCGTCATCTGAAAAAGGTGGAATTTCTTGAATTCCAAGAAAATAAGCCTGAACTAAATTTAGCCCGTTCCTTATTGGAGCATGGAAAGGAATTGGAGGAAATGGTTTTCAGTTGGAGTGATGAAGCCAAGTTCCATGAGATGTCAATGGAGACTATGAATCAATTGTTAAATTTTCAGAAGGCTTCTTCAACTGTCAAACTTAGAGGTGTAATTAACCCAACCAAACCCTATTCGTGACCTCTCCCAAAAATACTCGATTCAAGTCGAGTAGAGCTCGTGAGATTATTCAAAGTTACATATTTACCCTTTTCACAACATTTCGACTCGGCTTAATTAAACCCTTAGTCAAACGCATGACTCTTTGGAAGGAAGAATAGATGTTACAAGCTATCCGCTAAAGCTGTAAATAATAAATGCCTATCCATGTTACAAGGTAAACCAGATTTCATGGTTTCATGTGGATATTTGTTGGATTTGGATATTTACATTACCCAACTTGATGTTGTTTATTTCAATTTTTACTAGACTATGTAATTTTGGTTCTCCAATCTGGTTATGTTTGTATTCTGTTGTTAAATTTATTCAAATACAATTATTCTTCGAATTGGGATGAAAATAGGAAAATAGGACGAGTTTGACAAACTAATAGTAGTTATTAGTTAATATTAAAAGAGTTGATGTTCTAGTTATCGAACACACATTTAATTACCAACAAAATCGCTTAAACCCATAAAACCAAATAGCCATAACCGAATGGTTTCTTATATAAAGTTAAAAGCAGAATTTTTATGACTGGTTTCAGCTTAATTACTTTTGTTTTATAGAAAAATATGAGAACCAAACGATATATTTTCAAGCAAGAATTGAAAATAAGCAACATGAACTCAGGTAGTGAATACTTCAAATCCAAAAAGCATCCAAATGAGACCATGAAATCTAGTAACCCTTGACAAGAGTAGATATGTACTACTAATTATAGTCTAACAAAAAGCCTAATTGTAAATCAGTCTTAATCTTTCAGGAGAGTAATCAGCTTGACAGTTGAAGAAGCCTTGTGAAAATTTGAAACTTTCTCCATAGTCTCCATTGACTTGCGAGGGTACTTGTCTTTGTTACCCCAACTGAAAACAATTTTCTCCAATTCATTTCCATACATCAGTAACGAACGTGCCATCAATAGGCTCCGATCTTCTCCATTGAATTCAAGAAACTCAACTCTTTTCAGACGGCGAGTCAAGATTCTCCTTGTTTCAACTTCTTCCAACTTCTTGTGGGCAAATCGCCATGAATTCCTCTACATCGTCAAACAAAAATGTTAGTTTTGTTGAGGTGTTAAAAAAGAATCTACTATTTCAAATGCTCGAAAAATGTCTATGTCAGAAATCTAATATGCATAAGACACCACTTAAAGTGTAAAAGTGAGCCGTCAAATTTGAATAAAAAAATACCCTTTGATATGAGAATACGTCTTGAATGATCAAATGTAATGCCTCCATACACGGATAATGTTTAAGAATTTGTATGATCCATGGGGAAGTCATCAATTGTGATAGTTAGCTCCAAAGTCTTCAAATTATGTAAAGATGCAGCATCAATGCACTACAATTAATGACATCAAGTAAGGTTTCGAAGTTATTATACTGCAATAAGTTTTAACCAAAATGAAAATTTGTGCATAAAGAGAATGAGCATCTACCTTAAGGACGAAGTAAGGGTTAAGCCACAAAGATTGCATGCACATGGGAAATTCCAGCAAACAACTCACGCATGGTGTTCCCCATCAATTCAGATGGTGTTCCTTCCAGGTCAATCACAACTTTCTTCAACGAGTCTAGACCTTTAAAGATAAAATTGTAATAACTTATATGACCTTGTAACTCCAAAAACACCAGTTTTGGACAAGAAATCTCAATGCTATTATGGAAGTTTTCACCCAACTCAGCCGGATTTTGAGTTGGAGAAAACAGTAGATTTTTGAGCTTCAGCTCCTCAAGCAATGGGCACCTTCTAAAAAAACTTGTTATTACACCATCATTGTATAACTTAACATCGTTCAACTCAAAAACCCTAAGTGCCGATAAACTTCCTAAATTAAGCAAACGTAGACGACATCCATACAAATACAACCTTAATTCCTCCCATGAACCACAACTTACCAAAGAAAGGGGAAATTGGATATCCTCGTGCTCCTCTTTGGGACAAAACATCAAGTCTAGTTGTTTTACATCTCTTTCAGCAGCAAGTCTGATCCACTTCACTATTGTCGGCATATTGCAGTAATTCGCACAACATAAACGAAAACGATCCAAATGGAAGTATTTGTTTTCCAAAACATGATCCACAAACTCTTCGAATTTGTTTGTCTGGAATTCTTCAAAGGGATACAGTCCTCAAGAATAATCTGTCTATAGATCGAACTGAAGTCCACAATTCTTCGATAGTTGGAAGATTGAAAAGAACCAAACCAAGAACATGATCTGACAGTTTACTGATCATATTGACCCCATCTTCGTGTTCTATGATGTTTCCATATGCTTCTATTACTGTGGTTGTTAGAAAAGAGGGGTAAAAACACTTGGAAATTCTGAGAATCATGTATAACACTTTCATATTAAAGTATTTGGGTGATACTCCCAATCTTTAATCGGATAAGACTCAGAAAATGAGAGAAACAAAAGAGATAATGTTAAAGATGTTATGAAAAAGAAGAGTACCAAAACTAATTTCAAAATGATCATATAACAAGAAAAACTTCCTATCATAAAACTGCCACATGACAGTTTTATGTCCTAAAACTGTCCAAAAACAATCATAAACCAACTTAAATTTGGGCCTAGAGTATGGATCAAAAAACTGGGTGCATTTACCGAAAATTTGGATTTCTGATGCATTTTTAATATAGTAACATAACATATATAAAAATTTCCGCGCTGACAGGGGCTCTGCCCCTTGGACCCCGCTCCCAGGGGTGCTGCCCCCTAGACCCCCGTTCGTTAATGAGATTCGCCCCTAAATAACAGTTTACTTTCAACCAAGACAAATTTAAACAAATATGCACTCCACAATACACCATCCTAACTTGTTCAATATTTATCAATGTGACATTGATCAACAAATTAATCCTATTACACTTAAATAATATTAGTGATGTAAAATCACCAACAGTGGTAATGTGAATAGTGGTAATGTGAATAGGAAATTATTCATAGAATTAGCAAACACATTCAAATCACATTTACGTTTTATCCAGTTTGTGAACAAGAAGGTACAATTTCTACATGAAGTGAAAATGGGATATGTTTTCACACCAAAATTGCTCTCGATCCCCCCTCTGAATGGTTTTCATGTTAGGAATTATTAAATATTGTATACATCAAGAATATTATAAAGATAAGTTATTTTCTTATACAACAAAACAATAATATAGATGATATCTAACCACCTGTACAAAACAACTTAATTAATTATACATCGAAACGATAATAAGACATGTATATATATATATATATATATATATATATATATATATATATATATATATTCTAACTGATTATTGTGCGGACGTATGGATAATGTTATTCTTTGAGAATGATAAAGAAAATATGTTGTTTGATAATATAAATACGTTCAATCTTACATAACTATTGTCATTAACACACATTCTCACTAATTAAATCGTCTATAAGGTTATTATACACTTATTATGATTATTCATTTCTGTCAAAATGTTGTTACTATGTTTATTGAGTCGTATTCTGTCAGAATGAAATTGAGTGAAAAACGATGTGTGAGAACAAAAATAAATAATAATTAGCGAGAATGCATGAAAATGACGATAT